TTACGTACTGTAACCGTCATGGCCAGGTAGACAAAGAAAATTATAGTGATACAAAGCCATTCCGAGGTCTCAAGATCGTTCACGTTCTATGGTGAAGCAGTTGCAGATGTGATTGCATATTCAACGCATTTTAAGATCATAAGATAAATTTTCGATTTCTTGATAAATCAATCGAAAAATTATAAACACATTGTTTGAAATATATTTGTCTGGAGATAAAAAGGTCCTCAACTCAAGTTGAGCCAGTCAAAGCGCAGCCATTCGCTCAGTTCAAATATTGCTTCGTCGATTTATTGCCGCTGTTTATACAGCAAAGAATCATTCTTTTAGTTACGTTCGCGCCATGTCCATCACTACAATCAACGACCAGCTTTGGTTTAGTGAGACTGAGGCTATGTGGCCAGGTCAAAAATTTGCTCTTCAAGTGGAAAAAGTTTTGTTTCAAGGCAAATCGGATTTCCAAGACGTTTTAGTCTTCAAATCGACCACATATGGCAACGTGCTAGTGCTTGATGGTGTGATTCAGCTCACAGAGCGCGACGAGTTTGCGTACCAGGAAATGATCACTCATCTTCCCATGTTTGCACACAAACAACCCAAGCGCGTCCTTATTGTAGGTGGTGGCGATGGTGGTGTACTACGTGAAGTCATCAAACACGATTGCGTGGAAGAGATTATTATGTGTGAAATCGACTCCATGGTCTGCGACGTCTCGAAGAAATTTTTTACGGAAACGGTGGCCACAGCTTTTAATGATCCGCGCGTGACTCTTTTGCATGCTGACGCTGCTCTTTATCTTCACGAAAATACTACCAACAAGTTCGATGTTGTCATTGTCGACTCGTCGGATCCGGTAGGACCCGCTGAGGTCCTTTACAAAGCCGAATTTTACCAAAGCATGAAGAATGCGCTATCACCTGATGGTGTCATCTGTACTCAGGGTGAGTGCCTTTGGCTGCACCTTGACCTCATTGTAGACGTCATGCAACGTTGTCAGAGTCTCTTTTCTACCGTCAACTATGCGTACTCGACAATACCAACCTATCCCTCGGGTCAAATTGGGTTCATTATGTGTTCGTCCGGTCAAAGCGTGGACAAACCCAAGCGGACGCCTGACGCTAAGATGAGTAAGACATTACGCTACTATAGTGCCAAAATCCATGAGGCCTCATTTGTACTGCCTGGCTTTGCTGAGCAAAAAATTGCCACCGTGCGCAAGTGACGCTCATCAGCGTGATTCAATTGATACAAACACATCCTACCATTCGATATTGATACTTTTATCACTTGTGCTTACATGCGAATGTTTAAAGTCGATTATTACCTATGGCTATTGTCTCGTAACTGCAGCCAAGTCGCTAGGTATAAATCACGTGATCTTGTCAACTTTCCAGCAGAAATCAAAGATTTGCTCTTGAGTAAGTATGGCACGAAAAACTCCTCCGGATCACTCCCCCCTTCATTTCGATAATTGGCGTCGTCATAATTTACTGAGTGTTTGCACCTTTGCATGAGCCTAAATTGCAAGCCACCAAAAGACTTAGGTACTCTGCACGTATTATCCCGAGCACAATATCAGCGTCAAGGATATCGTCCGTTGACGTCTTAGCACGTATTATTGACTGAAAGCGCATTACTGTGCTTAACACAGAGTGCATTCCAAAAGTTTAATCTCAACTTTTGCCACTGCACTGTTGAGCATGAATATAGCAGCGTGCACAGCTGAAAGTGGCTTGTTTCAAACGTTACGCAGCGGCCGAGGACCTTGAGCAGATCCCGGAACAGTACCTTCGTCTTTGAGTTCACATGGATAGTTGCGTCGTTTTCACGCGTCAAATGACCTTTCACTCCTTTAAGGTCGATATCTCGACAACTCTGGAGTAGAACTAACAGAAGCAGAATGCTTCGATCAGCGAGTGGACTTGCGGTACTCGATAGTTTGATTCAAGCTCCAAGCGAAGCGAAAGATTGACAGAATTACAATCAAAGTAAGTAGTCGGGGATCGGTCAATGATGAAAAGACGAATGGTACTAAATTACCTGCAAAAGAGCCAAAACCTTTCAGTGTAGAATGCTCCTGATTATTTGCCAGGTCACAAATCCCAGACATCGCGACAGCGACATCTCGTGAGTTTTTTGCAAAGCAACAACTGCAGTATTTGAGACAACATTTTGTCCAGTTGCACGATGAGATTTTTGAAACAAGTGATGAAGCACACCAGATGCTCGTTCATGTGACGTGGACATCATTTGCATGTTTAGAAATGGTTTGTGACTTTGATAGTCTTTGGTCTATTGAGAGTAATCCCGTGAATATACCACTAGTGACGAAAGCACAATAAGTATTCACAACTTCCAAATGTCTTTGAACTACAGCAACACAATACATCAATCAGCAGACAAGCAAGCATCTACTGCATCTTGTTTGACAACAATAAAGTATGCTCAACCAAAACTGTAAGCAGTACATCCAAAAAGCGTGAACGACGACGTCGTTGGTAGATATTGGTTTTTGTTTTTTCTACTCGACAAAGTTTCGATAAAAGTCAGAGCCACGTAAGTTGTCACGTTGATGTAGTTGAATTTTGTACATAAGTTTTCAGATCATGAGAAAAATGAGCGAGCAACGGACATGAGTCCATTCGCTCCACAAACCTCATTGTGAATTGCCGGATTAAGAACAATGCATTCACAACTTTATGCAAGTATATGTCAATCGTATGTGGCTTGTTATCTTCACAATTTGGGCTAAATTCATCCAGCGCAAGTGCTGCTAACTCGCTTTTTGTCATCGTAGACACTTTGTCAACAAAACACAGTGTTTGGATCACATAACGCACAAAAGAGATCCGGATTCGAGACTGTTTTGGGCTATATCATTTTGGTGCCCAATAATTTTGAATATTGTAAAAGCAGTATTGCAATATATTGTCTTGCCATATTTGCAAGGCAGTAGCTCAACTCGTTTCTGTGTTGAAGACTGGGAAGCCTCCAGTATTGTTTAATACGCTACGTCTTCGTATGAAAGATGCATTGTACTCACAAATGTTGACGCTCCTATGTCCAAGACATGATGGTATTGTATGTTAAAGAATATTCAATAGTTTGACAGAACAGTTGGCAATGTGTGCCCATTTCTATCTAATAAGGTAGAATGTGAAACTCGCAGAGGAGAGGTAAGTGATCGGATGGAGAGAATGAGCTGGGCAGTGCGATCTCTTTAGTGGCGTCTTCGAATGACATGAGTTCCATAAGCACTGCTGGTCGCACTCTATTATCGCAAATGGTTAATATTATGGAACTATGAAAGGACGACAATACATACCTAGAAGAGCGGTAGAAAATGTAGTCAAGGGTGCCGATAAATCGAGGTCCGATTTTCCCATCATTTGTTTCAGCATCACCATTCACGTTAGTAAATTCGGGCTCTCCGCCTGTGTTGTACTGAGCATAGGCGCTACTAAAGCGGTGTTTGCTTGTAATGAACTTGTAAACTTTGCTGTCCGGTAATGAGTTAAAATCACCCGCCAATATAGTCGGTGTGGAGGCATCTAGCGTGCTTAAGAATTCGTCGATTGCTCGCAATGTTCGACGAGTCTGCAGTAGCTTCACATCTTCTTGCATGGGATCCCAGTACAAGTGCGTCGTTGCGACGACAAAGTCCAATTGAGTCTCCAGATGCTCGAAACGGACAATTAAGCTGACGCTTCCTCTTGAAGATGATCTTGTCAGTAGCTCGTGGTCGATATCTGCTCGAAAAAGTCATGATTAACTGAGCAAATAAACAGGTATATTGTTGATTGCTTGTTTACAAGAGCGAAGCGAAATAAGCTTACCTGATTCATCACCATTCTGCAAATCTAAGCTAATTTGCTCAGACGCTATCATCTTGATCTTCTTTTCGTTCCAGAACACAGTCACACCATCGATTTTCTTGCTCGTTTTCTTGGCAAAGATTCTTAGTGAAAGCATTGTAAAGAATGTGTCATTCATCTATTCCTCATTTCCATAAAATCTCAAACTTACCCTTTGTATCCGAGATTCTTCATCATGGCCTCCCAGAACTCGCTGTAATTATCTACTTCCTACACAACGGCATCCAATACAATTGTTAGAATGCCTTACTTTCTTTGTAATATGCATTTGCGACAGTTGAACAAACTACCTGCAAACAAATTATGTCCGGCGAAACAGACAAATTCGAGGCAAATACAGCAGCCTGTACAGCAAAAGTCGTCGTTTATACGTAACAAACTAATTCTGGGTAAATGGAGTACCAGCATTTTAGATCTATTTTTCCATCGAAGCGCGCTGGAGTTGCAGTAAGGAAAGAAGGTCGAACGTACGTAGCATTGTGCCAAAACGTTGTACGTCATCACCAGCAGCTTTTGTGACGGTCCAGTCGCTAATTAAGGCAAACACATACTTGATATTTAGAACCATCAAGTTATATAATTTAAATCAAAGCGAGTGCTCACGAGTGCCAACGTGCGGCAGCACGCGCATGTTAGGCGTTCTCATTGTTATTGTGACCATTTTGTAACAAAAAGTGGATCAGTCACAAATCACAAAACACAAATTTAAATTGAGGACTTCTTAGTGGCTAAAAACTATTGTAACAATTGGATGGCCGCTGGCCTTCGATATCCCTTACGCCAATTAGTGCTGAAATCACAAAAGCTTCCTCAAATTCAAGGTAAGGAACGAGCATTGCCGTTCTTTCGCATTAATTTAGATGTATACGTGTCTCCAAATGTGCTAATTACACAAGCAATGATGGTGTAATCAAGCAACGCGCAGGAGTGGAAATGTGTCAAGCTATGTGAAGCTAATAATGATGTGGTTTTAATTATTCATGTAGATGGTGCAGGTCACTCCCGTTACACGCCCAAAGATCGTCAAGAAGAAGGTGAAGAAATTCAAACGTCATCAATCTAACCGCTTCAAGCGCGTCCCAGAGTCATGGCGTCGCCCCAAGGGTATTGATGGCCGAGTGCGCCGAAAATTTAAAGGTGCTATCAAAATGCCTAACATTGGTTATGGCTCGAATAAAAAGACGCGCCACCTGTTGCCGAATGGCTTTCTTAAGTTCGTCGTGAACAATGTTGCTGAACTTGAGGTTTTGCTGATGCACAACCGCAAGTACTGTGCTGAAATTGCTCACAACGTTTCGGGCCGTAAGCGTCGTGAGATTATTGAACGCGCTGAGCAGCTCAATGTGCGTGTGACGAACCCCAACGCTCGCCTGCGTGCCGAAGAAAACGAATAAGCTAGGGATTGACAACAGAAGTGAAAACAAGGAGATCAGATCTGGCAGCATAAAGCTTGCAGCTTGATGACACAGCCAACTTTGAGAAAGCTAAAATGCAGCTTCAGTGTCGGGCGATAATTGATAATTCACCGTATGACATCCAGCTGAATTGTGGACTAGGTCGTGTACATTTTTTTGCATTGTTACGATTTTTGTACGTTTTGCCTCATTCACATTAAATTCTTACCTTGTTGGAATGAGTGCCTACCATTTCACGACGCGATGCCTACTTGCCAAACGATTTTGATGATAAAGCATTAACATAGTCCTGTAAGTGTAAGGCTAACAATGAAACTTCAAATTTTGATAAATGGAAATGTACACTTTCACACTAATGTTGCGCTAATAATGTTTCTGTAGCAATCTGAGTACTTTACACTCTAAGTGATACATTACTTTTTACATAATTGTTAATTTTCAAAAGAACCACAGTCTCAAAATGTATGTTGCTTTAAAAATAGGCGACAGAAAAGCGTAGCGGTTTCGAAGGAACCCAAGAGTTTACGAAACCATTTATGTACGATAACCTGTGGAGACATATATTGCGTCATTCGGCGCAAACTTCATAATTACGAGCGTCTCGATTTAACACAGCGGTCTCTTAGTGTAACAGCTTCATAGGTCATCTTTCACCATGCAATCCGCACGTAAGGTCAGACCAACAGATTGCGGATGGCCAGCGGTCAGTATATTCTAATCTGGATACCTCGAACAATATTCGGCAGAACTTTGCAGAAAAGCGCGAATTTGTATCCAATACAATGACTACCTACTAACCAAATCGGCGAAGCACTAAATCGAGAACGCTTGGTGTATGCGGCATGGCTGGCGACAGCAAGAAAAGCCATCTTGCTCAGACTGTCTACAGAAACTGCAATGCTGGTATTACTGGACGGGACATTTGGAAGACCAAAATAAAGCCCACACCGCCGGAATCAGCAGCCCAGTCAAAGGTGCCGTTGCAATTTGCTGAGGGCCTAACCCACTAGCACATTTAATACGTGCGCATATATGTGCTCATCCATATATGCATGTTAGGCCACCCATGCATAGCGCTCACCGAATAATTTATTTTTACCCTTCCGAGGTGACCACGCAAAGGGGAACGTATGCCTCAGACAATTTTCTGCACTTGATGTTTTATCGTGATGCTCTACTACACGCTGGGCGCCATTTGGGTCAGAGCTTTCGACAGCAAGCTTTGTCATAAAGCACTTAAGTTTCATATGTATAACCCGCGCTTGGACGAAGCGATATCTGAATTCTTAAACTCCCTTCCTTCCAAAACCTTCAGCAATACGACACATACTGCGCCTGGCCGGTACGCTGTACTCATCAACTTATTAATTTGGCGGTGTCATCATTTTGGCTTACAAAGCTCAACGTTGGGGTGACGTGATAGCGCATGCGCTGCCACATTAACACCAACACCGCTTTTGTCTTACCCTTCGGCAAATAAGGTTAGTCGTCTTGTGCAGCGGGGCTGCCGAAGCTCTTTCGCTTAGAGGAAGCTTAGTTAATGTCGGCGACCTTCGTTCTATACTTAGAGCCAGTACAAGTGATAGGAAAACCTATAGATTATAATATAGGCGGCTTTGCTGCAATTGAAACCGAGAAATACCGTTTACATTTTGAACGGGAGAGTTAATTAGCCTTGAGTAAAGGTTGTAGTTACTGTTGGAGTGCGCGGATTGCAATCCGCTACAATTAAATGTATAACTACTGGCGTTTCCAGCCACGTACTGACTTGTTGTTTTAGTGCAGCCAAACTACCTTGTGTAACCCACAACATTATGTAATCTCACACCATCTTGTGTGACTCACACCTTTTATACCAGGCCAAGTGAAACCCCGCTACACGCAGAATTTGGTTCTGGAAACGAAGTCAAACCCATTATGCACTCCCTTGTCTGGGGGAATTACACGCGTAATGGGCCTTTTGTCCACACGCCGTGGTATTCCCTGAACAAAAAACTAAGAGGATCCGTAAGAACTATCAGGATAGCTGTCCAGCTCTTCACACCTAGTGTTTTCATCCATAGTCATATCCATAACGGACGACGAGCTAAGCTTCTTCTTCAGTACCGATCGCGTCATTTTCGTGATTTCATCGTCTTGCAATTCGTTGCGCATATCCCTGACAAATAACACATCTGGTTTGATAAGTTTATGGTCTGTTCCTTCTACTCACGAGTTGCAGAGAGCGAAACTACTTCTCAACAAAGTCACTTAACGACTTGGCTTAAATGTGACAATTGTTTTGGATCAAGTCTCGCAAAATTTTGCTATGTTCAAGCTTAAGCTTTTTGATGGGCTTAAAGTTAATCGCTACGATTTTTGTGTTATTGTTTCAGGTGTTTGACCCCAAATTGGATGGTCAGAAAATTCTAACATTTGATAACCGATTAATTTTAATGAATCTTTTCATGGGCTCAAAGTTAATCACAACGGTTCTTGTATTATTTTAAACTCCATGTGGTCTACGTATTTAATTATGATGCCAAGCGAAATTTCTGCGCTAAGATAGCGAAATATTCCCCACTAGCTATGTAAATTATCACATGCTGACCTCGTCAATCGTGCTGCTGATGATTAGGAAAGTGTCGTGAGTTTTCGAATGCCCGCTCGACAGTATGGAGCAAGATGACAAAACTGTCTGTCAGCGTCTATCAAAGGGAGAGAACAATGACAAGAAATGAGCGAACGGTGGATGAACCAACATAAGGGAAAGAGGGAGTTTTGCTGTGCCAAAATTGGCGATTTGTCTGTCTTGAAGTCCGCAGAACGACAAGACACAAAGCACTGAAGGCGCTGGTTTGCTTGTTGGTTGCGGTGACGGACGACTAAGGCTGTAATCACACAATGAATTCTGAGTAGCTTTGTCAAGTCATTTAAAAAATGTCTTGATGAAACCCGTTCCAACACACTTTATTAAGGCAAAATTCTTTGGGACCTT